CTGGTGAGTCCCTCTCCAATACTCCCTGGCAATCAATCGCCAGCGAGTCCGTCCATCATTACCTCTCCCTTGCGTAGGGGTGGGTCGTTCTTTCTTTTGGTGCAGATTGCGATAGCGATGGCGGCGGACGCCCAGTCAGGAACGAGCGGCGGGAGTGGCGCCGCAATGAAGTCAGATCTTGATGAATTTCTGGAACAACTAAACTTGGACGAAGAGGAATTCGATGACTTGGTTATCGACGAAGACGATCCTGAGATCAACAAAAGCGTTAGATGGCTTGCCCTAGCTAGGGTTCATACGGACAAATCCTTTAGTCAAACTACTTTCTACATGGAGATGCGTGCGGCGTGGAACACAGCCCAACCGGTTAGGTTTCGGCCGGTGGGACAGAATTTGTTCGTGGTACAAGCTTCTTGCCTTGGAGACTAGGAGCGCATGCTGGATCAAGGACCGTGGTTGTTCAGGAATATGCTTGTGTTGATGTGCCCATATGATGGTTTTACGAAAGCTGAGGAGGTACCGATGGTGTTTATGCCAATTTGGTTACAAATCCATAGACTTCCCGAGGGGTTCTGCAAGCAGAAGATTGTGCAACATCTGCTCAGGAACTCCGGTGAGATCTTGGAGATGAGACTTAATGGGAATACGAGAGGAGACTATGTTAGAGTGAGGATCCGTCATGATGTTAGCAAGCCTCTTACAAAATTTGTTAGTATTGTTCGGGGCCATGAGAGGCAGGTGTTCTTGGTTCGTTATGAGAAACTGGCCCGCTTTTGCAGTGTCTGCGGCTTAATTGGTCATGAGTATAAAGAATGTGGTAGTGGTATTCATGAAGAGAAGGATAAGAAGTATGGGGCGTGGTTATATGCTGATGGTCCAAACAAACCACGTCAGGAGGAACAACACACGCGAGGTGGTGCAAGGCAATATGAGGCTACACCACAACGTGAGGTGGGTGGGAAGAAGGTGGTGGATCCTGACATGTTGGATACAGCCACCAGCCCCCCAAAGAAGGGCCATACCCACATGTAGGTCGATCCGGTGGTCAGGAAGAGATTGGCAATGGACGGTGTGGGCTCAGAAGAGGTGAAGGGTACCCAGAATCCAAAGGAAAACACTCTAGCTTTGACCCTTGGGAAGGGATAAAGGGACCAATTCACCTAGCAGCAGCAATGGAAGTAAGCGAGCAAAAACTAGTTCAGAGGGTGTATCATGCGATAAATCGGCGGCCTCCCTAGAGGAGGACCGCCGGGCACAATGAGTCTGTTATGTTGGAACTGCCCCGGGGGGGGGGGGGCGCCGGACAGTTCGTGAGGTTTTGGCCCTCTCAAAAGCCAATTCCCCGGGGCTCATATTCTTATGTGAAACCAGACAAGCCTCAAATAAAATGGAGCGACTCAAGTGGAGATTACAGATGAAGGGTTTTGTGGGGGTGTCGAGCCAGGGTCTGAGTGGAGGGCTTGCCCTTTTCTGGGACGAAAGCTTGCAAGTCACAGTTCTAGATGCTTGTGCATGGTATATAGACGTGTGGATAGTGGATGCAGCGAATGACAAGTCATGGAGGACAACCTCTGTGTACGGGGAGCCGAGAGTGGAGAATCGACACCGGATGTGGAGCTCGCTATCTAACCTAAGGGCGTTTTCTGCTGAGCCTTGGTTAGTATGCGGCGATTTCAATGAAGCTATGTGGCAACATGAGCACTTTTCTCAGTCACAACGATCTGAAAGTCAAATGCAAGTGTTCCGTGATTGCCTACTAGCATGTGAACTCTTGGATCTTGGATTTAGTGGCGTTCCGTTTACATACGATAATGGCCAACAAGGAGGGAGGAACGTACGGGTCCGGCTGGATAGGGCCTACGCGGATGATGCATGGAGGGATCTATTTCCACTCATGCAGGTGACTCACCTGGGGGCCTCCTGCTCGGACCACTGCCCGGTTCTCGTTCGGTTATCTGCGGCACCACCGAGAACTAGATCTGCGTCACGATACAAGATTATGTGGGAGCGACATCCCAGCTTGACGGCGGTGGTGGCAGAACGTTGGGGCCGAAGCTGCCCAGCTGGGAACTTGGGCGCGGTTCGTGATGCTCTTAAAGAGATGATGATCAAGCTGCGATCATGGAGTAGAGAGAACTTTGGCCACGTCATATCAGATTTGGAAAAGTTATGAGCAGAATTAGCACACTTACAACTTCATGATGCGGACAGAAATTTAATAAAATAGAAAATGCACCAACTTGATGAACTCCTCTATAGGGAGGAGATGCTTTGGCTTCAGAGATCTCGGATCACATGGTTGAAAGAAGGAGAGCGAAATACAGCATATCTTGATCACCGTGCGGTGTGGCGTGCTCGGCGGAACTATATACAGCGCTTGAAGCGAGAGGATGGTACGTGGTGCTCATCCCCGACAGATATGCAACGCATGGCCACATCATACTTCAAGGAGGTTTATACGAAAGATCCAACTCTCACTCCGAGAGTGTCTTGGAGTGTATCGCATCTAAGGTAACTGAGGGTATGAACGATACCCTATGTGCTCCCTTCTCGGAGGAGGATGTATCAAATGACCTATTTCAAATGGGTTCGCTTAAAGCACCAGGGACGGACGGCCTCCCAGCGAGGTTCTTTCAACGAAACTGGGTCGTGCTGAAATCTAAAATCATAGCTGTTGTGCTGGAGTTCTTTAAGTCAGGAGAGATGCCGGATGGGGTGAACGACACGGCTATCGTTCTTATCCTAAAAATTCCTTTCCCAAAGGAACTCAAGGATTTTAGACCGATAAGCTTGTGTAACGTCATCTACAAGATTGTCTCAAAATGCCTCGTGAACAGACTAAGGTCATTGCTCGCAGAGCTCATCTCAGAGAATCAGAGTGCCTTCGTTCCAGGGAGGCTTATCACTGACAATTCGATTATTGCTTTTGAGTGCCTTCACCACATACAGTCACTGAAACAAAACAGACCGGCGGCATGTGCTTACAAGCTGGACTTGTCGAAGGCATATGACCGTGTCGACTGGGACTTTTTGGAGAAGGCACTTGGTAGATGGGGCTTCGCCCAACAGTGGATTGCATGGATTATGGTGTGTGTGAAATCAGTGAAATATTCGGTCAAATTCAATGGACAATTGCTTGAGAGTTTCATTCCCTCTAGAGGATTAAGGCAAGGTGATCCTTTATCGCCATTCTTATTTCTTTTTGTTGCTGATGCCCTTTCTGCTCTGTTCTCTAAATCAGTTGAGGAAGGCTCGCTAAAGGGGGTGGCTATATGTTGTGGTGCACCAGTTATCTCCCACCTGTTATTTGCAGATGATACTATGTTGCTTTTTGAGGCGTCTGGCAAGCAAGCAAGCATTGTTAAGGGGTTGTTGAACACTTATAGTTCTGCGACGGGTCAACTTATTAACCCAGAGAAGTGTTCCATCCTTTTTTTCTGACAATTGCTCTGATGCGGTGGTGGATGAAGTCAAAAGTACCCTCGAGGTTATGCAGCAGGTGTTCGAGCCAAAGTACCTCGGCCTTCCGGTGACAGAGGGAAGAGTGCATAAGGGACAATTTGAATCTCTTCAGGAGAGGTTGAGGAAGAGATTAATTGATTGGAGTGAACAGTTTATCTCGTCGGGGAACAAAGAAATTTTGATCAAGGCGGTGGCGCAAGCTATACCTACATATGTCATGAGTGTGTTTTGGCTACCGACCTCTGTTTGCGATGATTTAACGCGTATGATGAGGCAATACTGGTGGGGAGTGGAGAATGGTAAAAGGAAAATGGCGTGGCTCGGTTGGGAGAAAATGATCTTGCCCAAGGATATGGGAGGAATGGGTTTTAGAGATATGAGATCCTTCAATCAGGCGCTACTCGCGAAGCAAGCCTGGAGATTGCTTGATAGTCCGGATAGTTTATGCGCCCGGTTACTCCAGGCCAAATATTACCCCAATGGTAACTTGCTTGATACAGTCTTTCCTTCTAGTTCGTCGGCTGTGTGGAAGGGCATCATGCATGGACTTGATCTGTTGAAAAAAGGGGCTTATATGGCATGTGAGTAATGGTTCGTTAATTAAGACTTGGCGGGATCCGTGGATTCCAAGGAAGCATGACTTCAAACCGATCACCCCAAAAAGAAATTGTAGACACAACTGGGTTGCGGATTTCTTGGAGGAATCTGATGCATGGAATATGCAAATGTTGAGACAATATTTCAGGGATATGGACATTCGCGAAATTGTGAAGATCCGGACGTCACCGAGGCGGGGGCAGGAGTTTTTGGCTTGGTTTCGAAAAAAGAGTGGTTTGTTCACTATTAAGAGCGCCTATCACCTCGCAAGAGAATACCAATTGTCAAATTCGATGAGCGCGTCTAGCTCTAACCCAAGCGGACACAGGTCGATCTGGAGACGGGTGTGGGATGCGCGGGTACCACTCAAGATGAGAATCATGGCGTGGAAAGTGGTGTCAGGAGCACTCGCAACAAATTCTTGCAAGAAATATAGACACATATCCATGCGTGATACATGCCCTCTCTGTGGTTCAGAAAAGGAGATCAGCTTCCATGCGTTGGTTACTTGTGAGTATGCTCGGGCAGTGTGGACGCAATTGCGTTCAGTTTGGAATCTCCCTGATCATCAATTGCTTCGAGATACAGGAAGGGAGTGGCTTCTGAATATTCTGATGAACTGCAATGATGATATGCGGGAGTGCACTATAATGTTAATATGGAGGATATGGACATTGAGGTCTGATATGGCGCATGGTAAAGATGTACCAAGTCCGACTGCTACGGCAGATTATCTGCAAAGTTATATGCAATCGTTACATTTGGCCAGGAGATACTCTACAGAGGATATCATAAAGGGGAAGATGCCAATGCTTAGTGATGAGCCGGCCAAGCCGCCCGGTACGGCAATGTAGTTACCATGGCCTCGTCCTGCGGAAGGCCATGCGGCCTTATCGGTCGATGGATCGTTCTCACCATCGGATGGATCAGCAGCTCCACGTATGCTACTTAGAAGAGCTGATGGGTCTGTCATATTTGCAGCTTACCGGTGTATCTTCAACTGCAATGATGCTTTGGAGGCGGAACTACATGCAATAATGCAAGGGATGGCACTAGCAATCCAGCATTGCAACTTGCCGATCATTGTTCAATCTGATTTTGTCCAAGCTCTTTTGTCTCTGACCGGCAAAAGTCTTTCCCGGTCGGCTTATGGTCATTTAGTTGCTGAGATTCGTCTTCTTATGGGTGAAAGAGAGTTTTTTCCTTTGAAAATTAAGCGAGAACAGAATAGGGTAGCAGATCGTTTGGCTATGTATAGTCGTATAGAGAGCACTACTGCTATATGGCTTGGGCAGGGCCCTCCTTGTATTGAGGAGCTTTTGCCATTTGATTGTAACCCTATGAATATGGAATAAAACTCTTTTACCCTTGCAAAAAAATGTCCTGGGTACGAACCTACATATGAAGTGGAACGAACATGCCATACTCACAAATATTTCTTGGCTATATCGATTTTGTCTATGTAATTTTGTCACACTTTAATTATAATCTTGGTGTATATAATTTTGGGGAGAAATATTTCTCAGTATATTATTTCTCTTTATCATACCTTGGGTATATCATTTTTGGAATGTATATTTTTTTGGTATATAATTTCCATCTATCGTACCTTGGGTATATCTTTATTAAGGTATTTATTTTATTTTGGAAAGATTCAAAGGACGATCATGCATGGAAGAGAAGTTATGGATGCATGTATTGTTCGGAAACAAATGCATGCATGCTATTATTACATAGTATGGGAAATCTTGCATGCAGAATTTAATGGGTTTAAGTCCACAGGGCATTAATGAAAAACCAGCTAGGTGCCACAGTGATGCTAAACTAAGTGAGCACGTAAAATAGCTAATCGTGCGTGCTGGTCGCTAATTCTCTCACGCATGACTCGGCTAGTTTAGCCCAAATTTCCACACCATGTAAACGAAGGTAAAACGCAACAAAAAAGAACATAACAAATTTAATTTTTGTTACTGCCCCACTTTCGCCACACGCTTTATCTTCGTCCCGTCGCGCTGGCCACTATTTAATGATAGTAAAAATACTAGTGTTTATGATAGAATTACTAGGAGTCACGATGCACGTGGTACAACCTGAAATTGAGCTTTTTAAGACTAGCCACAATGGAAGTAACTTCAGCAGTAACATCGAGTCCAATTCAGCAAATTTGCTTATTTGGCAATGAGTTAATGAGGAGAGAGGTAGTTACAGTAACTTAGCTAGTTATTGTAACATCACATGTCCCAATGCAATATGAGTCTATAACTTGATAAATGAAGCTTTGCATGTTACCACACTTATGTTACTATCCACTATGAAGATAGTAACATAGTCTAGGAATATGTGTATATTACTAATATATGTTACTATGCACTGTGGCTAGTCTAAAGAAAGGGGTAATTATGATAAATGTGTTACGACTCCCTATGTGCTAATTACTTCAAGCACTAAAGAAAAGAAGGGGTAATTATTCCATCCTTTCCGGTTTATAGAGCTTATTTTAACTTTTTTGTTTTTCCAATTTAAAGGGCTCATCTTCATCTCATTTTTAGTTTTCGAGGGGCATTAAATCTTTACATGCAAGAATTAAAAAGAAACATCCTAATGCATGTAATTTTCCTACTTGTCTAGTGGTCAAGCATGCATGCACTGCAATTAATCTAAATTAATTTATGAGTTTAATTTGAGTAGTTTTGTAAAGTACAAGATACATTCCTCCACTCACAAAATGCCTTGTTTGATGAAATTTAAGATTTGAGCCCTATAAACCGGAAAGGAGCGAGTACTATACTCCTTCCGTCTAGGTGAATAAGTCATCTTAGGCACCATGACCAAGGAGGAGGGGAAAATGAAAGAACTTGATGTTTATTTGCTAATTAATAGCACTGCGTGCAATGAACTAACCACTGCATATCGTATCTGTTGTCTCAAGTCATTAAAAGCATGCACACCACACATCTCTTATTGGTTGATATGTCAAAAAACAAAAAAGAGATAGAAGTTAATGCACCACGCTTAAGTGTTTTGGGATTATTTAGTTTTCATAAGATGATTTACACACCTAGACGGAGGGAGTAGAAAGTTTTGTGCATGCTAATTATTACTACTATCCACTAGAGCCTTACTATAGAGCATTTCCTATTTGCTAATTACTAAAGTCACTAGAGCATAGTAATTGCATTACTATAGAGGGTTTATGGTTTTACACCTTCCTTCTTGCCAATTTATACTTTCGCTAGGGCCTTAGTAATAGCATTACTATTTGGTATAAATCTTATTTTAGCAACTAAAATAAAACCAAGATGTAAATGGAAGAAATGTAAAATTAGAAAGGCCCAATCTCAGCATAACTAGCTATGACCTAAGTACCCATAATTTTTTTTAGATTAGTACTAACCTTTTTTTTGGTATAATTACTTTCACAAAAAATGAGTCTCATAATATAAATCATTTCATTATCATATTCCCTACACTAATTACGTAACTTCGTTCCAGTGTTGCATTCATTGCAAACTTCCAGGATCCATTACCGTGTTCCCATTGTTAAAAATAATTCTGTAATTAGGGAAAAATCTCCCCTTGCCCAAACCGTTGTTGCGGTTTGTCCCGCAATCGACGCCTCCCTTCGATCTCCTGGAACCGACGCCTCCTCGAGGGATCGTCGTGTCTCCTCGGGACATATAAAAGGGGCCCTGTAACCATCGATCAATCAATTCGATCATTCTGATTCAAAACACGTTATCAGCACGTAGAACAGCCAGCGGGAGCGAAAGGCAACAGAGAAAAGGAGAAGAGAGGAAGCACTCACTGCCGGTGAGATGACAGGCCTCGTCTCCTTCTTCCTCCGTCTGATCCGCGAGGACGGTCGCCGCTACCGCCTCATTGCCCTTCGCCGCAATGGAGTTGGTGTCCACCGCCATTTCCGTCGTCGAATGCAAGCCATCCGTCGATTCGCCGCTGGACGTGGCGCTCCTGGCCACCACCGCGCCGCTGGACGCACCCCCGCGGTGCTCCCCTCGCCCCTGGACGCGCCCACGATGGTGCTCCCTGCGCCCGTTGCCAGGCGCCCATGGGGTTCGACCCCTGGCTAGTGGCCGGCCCGAGCGCCTCCATGGTGCACAGGGCTGCAGACGCGCCTGCACCGTCCCCTGGATCTCCGCCTTCACCACCTGCTCCGCCGGCCGCGTGGCTCGCGCTGTCGACGCCAACGCCCGCCGCCGAGGCCGCCGGCCCTCCCGGATACTGCCCCATGTTGATGCGCGCCGTCGTGAACGAGGAGGAGGTGCTCGCCTTCGTCTCCGCGCCGGCCGGTGCCTCCGGAGTAGTCCGCCTTGGAGCAGGCATGGAGGACGGTGCCGCCACGCCACGCCTCAACAGGAGACGGCCGCGGGCTCGAGCAGCCGCACTGAGCAGCGCTTCGGCCGCCTATTCAGGCGCACCGTCGCATCCCTCGACCGCCGTCCCGGCCACTGCGCCGGCTCGTGGGCTCCGGCGAGCCTCGGCCTTGCCAGCGCCGCGCCTCCAGGAGTCCGCCTGGACCCCGTCGTCGTTGCTTCTTCTTCGGACGAGGAGAGCTCGGTGGGGCTGCGCTGGTAACCAATGGAGAAGGAGGGATGCGGCGGCGGCCACTCCTCCTGGCGGCGGTGCTGTGACCAGAGGTGGGGATCGAGCAGTGGTGCGGGGGGTCAGAGTATCCGACCCGTATCCGTAACCGCTCTCCCCCCTCTGCTTTATGCGGTGCGGCGGCGGATGGGCTGGCCAAAGGCCGTGCAAGCCTAGGCCCAGTCGCATACGGGTCCTCATGGTGGCTACGATTTTTTTATCTGTTTCATTGATCATTAGTACTAATTATTGTATTAGTGCAGTTTTAGACTATGTTTAGTACTGTTTAGTACCTAGTTTGACTGCTACTTACATTCTAGTCCTGTTCTAGATTACATCTGACTAGGACTTGTGTTATTAGTGTGTTTATATTATGTAATGGATTGATAATATAAATAAAGTACCGGATTTCATCTGGGAAGTATGACATGTTCCATGTGTTTACCACATATCAAGTTCTCTTGAACATGTTTTAGCGATCGAGATCATCTTCTCTCGCACACCAAACATGTAAATTTTTGAATATTTCTCCCTCATTATATTTGGAATCACAAGGTAATGAGTTGGGATCTACTACTCATTTGCAGATTATCCCCTCTTACTGTGAGGTCTACGCTTTGTCATTCTCGACAAGCGATTACCTCCAACGTGTATTCCTTATATCTGAATTGTAGCATACACAAGGTAATGGCGATATAGCCTATTACTGTGAGATCTAAATGATCTTCAAAGTGTTACGTTCACACAATTGAGGTTGAGAATTTTTCAAGTTTACACTTGAGTATCAAATTTTTGCATTCTTATTACAGAACCATGATGGTTTTTAATTTACCACCTGTAAATTAATTATTGTTTTCCCATGTAGGCAAAGATGACTGCCAAAGAGTTTGAGGAGCTTGCCCTCAATGGCCACAATTACCCTACATGGTCTATGGACATCAAGATCAGTCTTGCGTCCCGTGGGATAGCGCGTGCAATACAACCCCCGGAGACTCCTCTCCCGGATGGGGCCACGCCGCTGACAAAACAGCAGAACTATGCTGCCTGCCTTATTCATCATAAGGCACCATATTCATCCAGATCTCAAGTCCGAGTATTTACAGGAGGAATCTCCTAGTACTCTGTTTCTGGCTCTCAAAACAAGGTATGAACAGCAGAAGGCAGTAGTCCTGCCAGAAGCACTCCATGATTGGACTCATCTCCGTCTTCAGGATTTCAAGTCCATTGGTGAGTACAATCATGTTGTTCATAAGATATGTTCCAAACTGCGCTTTTGTGAGAAGGAACCTACTGAAGGGGAGAAGATAGAGAAAACTTTCTCTACTATGCTCCCTTCAGATAGAATCCTCCAACAGCAATACCGTGCTCGAAACTACACTGTCTATTCCGAGCTTATTCACATGTTACTTCAGGCTGAGAAGCATGATGAGCTACTCGCTAAGAATGGCTCTCAGGGCCCAGTTGGGGCACAACCTTTACCTGAAGTCCATCTGAATGTTGCAAATAGACAAAAGTTTAATGGTACCCCTCAGGGTAAACAATCCAATTTCGAGCATAAGCGAAAGCGCAATGGGAACAGGAGATCTAGACACCCAGGCAAGGGAAAAGGCACTTCAAAGCCCAGGTTTGATAAATCTAAGCTTTGCAACAAGTGTGGATGCTCCACGCATTCTACTAAAAAGTGCAAAATGCCCAAGCATCTGGTTATGCTGTACCAGCAATCTCAGGGACGCAAAGCACCTCAAGGGAAAAGGTT